TCAACAAATACCTCATTACAAAAGTTAAAGACTTAAAAGGGATCAGAAAAGTAGCTAAGCAGATTTCTGAAAGTGAGGATTTCCAAACCAAAGGCCATGAATGGCAGTCACACAGTAGGCAGTGTGGCCTGCTCAGAGTCAGGTGTCGTGAGTAGTTGGAGTCCAGAGAGGTCAATTTGAGGTTGGCAGACAGGAAAAATCATGTAGGACTATATAAATAGTCTATAGATTTTTAGCAATTTTGGTTCTTGTTTCTACATCTAATATTATGTGATATTATATATTAAACATGTTTAAAAATCTGGAAACTACTTTTAAAAGCAAGTTACATTATAAAATTTCCTTGTATTTTGCTTATTTATATGTGTGTATATGCATGTGCCTACCTGTGGATGTCAGAGAACAATTTTAGGGAGTTGTTTCTCTTTTCATGTAAGTCTGGGGACTTGAACTCAGGACATCAGTTTTGGCACAAAATACCCTTACCCACAGAGCCATCTTGTTGATCGCAAGGCAAGTTAAATTTATGACATGGAGTGTTGTATATTTTGACACAGGATTTCTCTATATAACCACCCTGGCTGTCCTGGAACTCATTTTGTAGACCAGGCTAGTCTTAAAATCATAGAGAGCCTCCTGCCTCTGCCTCCTGGGTGCTGGGATCACTGGTGTGTGCCACCATGCCCAACTCTGTTTTTTTATTTTTATTTTATTTTTATTAATTACAGTTTATTCACCTTGTATCCCAGCTGTAGCCCCTTCCCTATGCCTTCCCAATTATACCCTCCCTCTCTCTTCTCCTATGCCTCTCCCCCACTCCAATGATAGGGGAGGTACTACTCCCCTTCCATCTGACCCTAGTCTATCAGGTCTCATCAGGACTGGCTGCATTGTCTTCCTCTGTGGACTAGTAAGGCTGTTCCCCCTTCAGGTGGAGATGGTCAAAGAGCCAGCCCATGAATTCATTCAGAGACAGTCCCTGTTCCCCTTACTAGGACACACTTGGAGACTGAGCTGCCATCTGTGCAGGAGTTCTAAGTTATCTCCATGCATGGTCCTTGGTTGGAGTATCAGTCTCACAAAAGATTCCTATGCCCAGATTTTTTGGTTCTGTTGCTCTCCTTATAGAGCTCCTGTCTCCTCCAGGTCTTTCTATCTCCCCCATCTTTCATAAGATTCCCTGCACTTTGCCCAAAGTTTGGCTATGAATTTCAGCATATGTTTTGATTCCCTGCTGGGTAGAGTCTTTCAGAGGCACTCTATGGTAGTCTCCTGTCCTATTCCCTGTTTTCTCCCTCTTCCAATGCCCACCCCGTTTGCCGTTCTGAATGAAGATTGAGCATCTTACCCAGGGTCCTCCTTCTTGATTAGCTTCCTTAGGTGTACAGATTTTAGTATGATTATCCTTTATTATATGTCTATATCCACTTATAAGTGAGTATATACCATGTGTGTCTTTCTGTTTCTGGGTCACTTCATTCAGGATCATCTTTTCAAGTTCCCACCATTTGCCTGCAAATTTCATAATTTCCTTGTTTTTAGTCACAGCCTTGCCTTGTCCCTGATTTCAGTGGGACTGATTTAAGTTTCTCTCCATTTAGTTTGATGTTGGCTATAGGCTTGCTGTGTATTGCCTTTACTATGTTTAGGTAAGTGCCTTGTATCCCTGATCTCTCCAGGACTTCAAACATAAATGAATGTTGGATTTTATCAAATGCTTTTTCAGCATCTAAAGAGATTATCATGTGGTCTTTTTCTTTCAGTTTGTTTATATAGTGAATTACGTTGATGGATTTCTATATATTGAACCACCCCTGCATACCTGGGATGAAGCCTTCTTGGTCATAGTAGATGATATCTTTAATGTGATCTTGGATTCAGTTTGTGAGAATTTTGTTGAGTATTTTTGTATCAATGTTTATAAGAGAAAATGGTCTGAAATTCTCTTACTTTGTTGGGTCTTTGTGTGGTTTAAGTATCAATGTGATTGTGGCCTCATAGAATGAAGTCGGTAATGTTCCTTTTGTTTCTATTTTGTGGAATCATTTAAAGAATATTGGTGTTAACTCTTCTTTGAAGGTCTGGTAGAATTCTGCGCTGAAACCATCTGGCCCTGGGCTTCTTTGGATTGGGAGACTTTTGATGACAGCTTCTACTTCCTTAGGGGGTATAGAACTATTTAGTTTATTTACCTGATCTTGATTCAGCTTTGGTAAATGTAATTTATCAAGAAAATTGTCCATTTCATTTAGATTTTCAAATTTTGTTGCATATAGGCTTTTGAAGTAGGACGTAATGATTCTTTGGATTTCCTCAGTGTCTGTCGTTAGTTAAGTTCCTGTTTTCATTTCTAATTTTATTGATTTGGATAGTGTCTCTCTGTTGTTTAGCTGGTTTCACTAATGGTTTGTCAATCTTGTTGATTTTCTCAGAGAACCTGCTCTTAGTTTCGCTGATTCTTTGAATCGTTCTCTTTGTTTCTAATTTATTGATTTTAGCCCTGAGTTTGATTATTTCCAGCAGTCTACGTGCTTTCAGGTGTGCTGAGATGTTTGTATTTCTTCTTGAAGGCACTTAGTGCTATGAACTTTCCTCTTAGCACTGCTTTCATTGTATCTGATAAGTTAGGTAAGTTGCACCTTCATTTTCAGTGAATTCTAGGAGGTCTTGAATTTCTTTATTTCCTACCTGACCCAATTGTCATTTAGTACAGAGTTGTTCAGTTTCCATGTGTGTGTAGGCTTTTTGCTGTTTCTGTTATCGTTGAAGTCTAGTTTTAGACTATGGTGGGCTGATATGATACAAGGGATTATTTCAATCTTGTTGTATCTGTTGAGGCTTTCTTTGTGTCTGACTATATTTTGGAGAAGCTTCCATGAGGTGCTGAGAAGAAGGTATACTCTTTTATGTTTGGGTGAAAAATTCTGTAGATATCTGTTAGGTCCATTTGATTTAAGATGTCTGCAAGTGTCATTATTTCTCTATTTAGCTTCTGTCTCAATGATCTGTCCTTTGGTGAGAGTGGGATGTTGAAGTATCCCAGTATTAAGGTATTGGGATTGATATGTGATTTAAGCTTTGATAATGTTTCTTTGACAAATGCAAGATCGCTTGTGTTTGGTGTGTAGATATTCAGGACTATGAGGTACTCCTGGTGGAGTTTTTCCGTTCATGAGAATGAAGTGTCCCTCTCCATCTCTTTCGATTAATTTTGGTTGAAAGTCTTTTTTTTTTTTCTATTAGGATGGCTACTCCAGCATGCTTCTTGGGTTTGCTTGCTTGAAAAACCTTTTTCCAGCCATTTACTCTGAGGTAGTGTCTATCTTTGTTGCAGAGGTGTGTTTTTTGAATACAGCAGAATGTTGGATCCTCTTTCCATGACCATTCTGTTAGTCTGTGTCTTTTTATCAGAGAGTTGAAGCCATTAATGTTGATAGATATTAGTGACCAATAAAGTGACCAATTATTCATTACTTTTATTGTGGAGTTGGTGGTGATTGTGTGTTTGTATGCTTGTACTCTTGTTTTGTTGTTGTTGTTGTTGTGATGGTATCTGTATCCTGTGTTTTCTTGGGTATAGCTGATCTCCTTGAGTTGGAGGGTTTTTTTTTTCCTAGTATCTTCTGTAGGGCTGAGTTGCTGTGTAAATATTCTTTAAATTTTGTTATGTCATAGAATATTTTGTTTTCTCCAACTGTGTTGATTTAAAGTTTTGCTGGATATAGTAGTGTGGGTTGGCATCTGTGATCTCTAAGCTTCTACATGATATCCTCCCAGGCCCTCTGGTTTTCATTGTCTCTGTTGAGTAGTCTGGTGTGATTCTGATAGTTCTGCCTTTATATGTTACTTGGTCTTTTTCCTTTGCCATTATTAATATTCTTTCTTTGTTCTTTACACTTAGTGTTTTGATTATTATGTGGCGGTAGGACTTTCTTTTCTCCTCTAGTCTGGTGTTCTGTAGGCCTCCTGTATGTTTCAGAGCATTTCTTTCTTAAGTTTGGGGAAATTTTCCTGTATGATTTTCTCAAAAATATTTTCTGGGCCTTGGATCCTGGAATCTTCTTTTTCATCTATTCCTATTTTTAGGGTTTTTCTTTTCATGTTGTCCTTGATTTCTTGGATGTTTTGTGTCAGGAACTTTTCTGTTTTTATGTTTTCTTTGAGAGAAGTATCAATTTCTGCAAGTGTAATTTCAATGACTGAGATTCTGTCCTCCATCTCTTGTATTCTGTTCTTGATGATAACCTTTGTGGTTTCTGATCTCTTCTCTAAGTTCTCCAACTCCAGGGTTGTCTCTGATTGTGTTTTCTTTATTGATTCTAATTCTGTTTTCATGTTTTCAATGATTTTATTCATTTTTCTTCACCTGTTTGATTGTGGATTCCTGTCTGTCCGTGATGGCCTCTATTTTTTTGGTTTGTTTCCTTTTCATGTGCCTCAAATAACTCCATAACCATAGACTAAGATAATTTTCCTGTGTTTCAGCTGCAATAGAATATCTGTTGATTTTTGGAGAGTCTGGTAAAACCATGATGTCCTGGTTTTTGTTCCTTGTATTCTTACACCAGCCTCTAGCCTTCTGGTTGTCTGCAGTCTTGACTGATTGCTCCTGGAGCCTGTACTGCAGACTGGGTCCACCTGTCTCTGGAGTCTTGAGTAGTATGCAGGAAGATAAGAGATGTCCAGCGGCTCAAGAATGGGTACTGGAGATTCAGATGCAGCTAAGGAAGGAAAGGTGCCCTACTGAGTTCACTGTCTCTGCTGGCTCACTGTGACCCAGGTAGGACAGGCAAGCTGGGGTGTAGGCAAAAAGATCTCCAAGCCCAGAGCTGCTCCTGTACCCCATAGGCTCCTTGGGGAGGAGGACAATGGAACTTGTGTCCTATCCCTAGCTCAGCTCTCACATATTTTATTATTAGCATATTTTAAGTTGGAGACATGTAGGAATAGGTGCGTAAAGATTATTTCCATGGTTAAATTAATGATTTTATTGTCTCCAGCAGGAATGTAAAGACCTCAAAATGGAACCAAGTATGGATGTGAATTCAGTCACTGTCTCTGTTGAAGGAATGACATGTATTTCCTGTGTCCGGACCATTGAGCAGCAGATTGGGAAAGTGAATGGTGTCCATCATATTAAAGTAAGTTACTCTTTGTGAATTAGTAAGATGACATTACCATTAATTCTGTTAATAACTAGTTCTGATATTGGGATTGAAATAATCACACCAACACATTTGACAAAAAAAAAGCCTACCATCATACTGCCAATTCTACTAAACTATAATAATAATAATAATAATAATAATAATAATTTACCCAGTTAATTCTCTTTTAAAGAAAGAAAGCCAGATATAGTTGAGGCAGAAGGATCACTTGAGTTCAGGAGTCTAATGACCAGCCTTGATAACACAATCAGTTCAAGTCTCAAAAAAAAAAAGAAAGAACACTGTTCAAATGAGGACTCTATTGTGATAATATATGTGTGCTTTTTTATTACTCCTAATTTCTATCTTTTTATTTGAAATAGAATCTTGCCATGTATGTAAACCAAAAAATGGCCTTGAGCTAAAGATCCTTCTGCCTCATCCTCCCAAGGGCTAGAATTATAGGTATATAGGATCATGACCAGATTTACTTTTAACTTCATGCTGGATGAAAATATACGATCTCAGAGAATCAGCTAGTTTATATTTTATAGCATGGTGATATTTTGTGATTACAGTTGATATGAAATAGCTAAAGTATTGTATGTTATTATTATTTAACGTTCTTTGAGCATCAGTAGGTTTGTCAGTGTGCTGTGGTTGCAATTGAATTTCAGGTGATTTACCTTTTGGGGGTAGTTCTGTGTTTGAACTCTGAGCCCTGCACATGGTAGGCGAGAACTCTGTCACTGAGCTGTAGTCCTAGCAGCATATTTTACTTTTATTTATTTTGGGGGCACCTATGGCTTTCACTTTTTTGGTATTTTATTTATTTTTGGAGGTGGTAGGGGGACAGTATCTATTTGTGTAGCAAGGCTTGCCATGGGCTCAACATGTAGCTCAAGCTAGCCTCAAACTTGGAATTCATCTGTCTCAGACTCTTAAGAGCTAGGAATATAGATGCTTGACCATCTCTACTGCTTGCCAGTTGCTTGAGGTTTTTCCTAAGAGCATTTTTTCTTTGTTTTGTTTTGTTTCATTTGTTTGTTTGTTTGAAACGTGGTCTATATAGCTCAGCCTGACCATGAATTTGATATGTAGCCAAGGCTATCCTTGAACTCCTGTTCCTCCTACTTCCAATCTCCCAAGTACTAGGACTAAAAACATAAGCTACATTGCCTAGCTCAAAATATTTCTTTAATGAAGTGTTTCGGATATACGAAAGTAGAGAGACTAGTACAAGAGACCCCTATAGCTCAGATGGTCCTTGCCATTTATTTCATGACGTTATTACCAGGTAAATTTGGTGATATGCATGTGCTGCGGAGCTTGTCTAGGCCTTCCTGCCTGTTGTCTGTGGTAAGGCAGAGATCCCTGACTAGTGCATTGGAATTACTACTATAGCTCCATGCTAATGGTCATTTCTAAGCCTTTTGGATTTTTTTTCTTTAATTTTTTTCTTATTTTCTGATTTTTATTATTTTTTTATGAGTGTTTGTATTCATGTATATCATGTGTGTGTAGTGACTTTCAGGTCAAAAGAGGGTATTAGAGCCTCTTGAACTGGAGTTACAGATGGTTGTGAGCTGCCCCGTGAGTGCTGGGAATAGAACTAGTATCCTCTGGAAGAGCAGCCAGTACTGTTAACCACTGAGCCATCCCTCCAGCCTCTGGTTTTTGCTTTTTGTGTTCTGAGATAGGGTCTCTGTAGCCTAGGCTGGCCTGGAATTTGCAACAATTTTCCTGCCTCCGTTTCCCAACTGCTGGGATTAGAGGTGTGTGCCACAATGTCTGGCTCTAAGCTTAAATTTGTATAAATTAAACACACTTATTTATGTACATGTGACATATGAATGTGTTTTTCTCTGTACTTGTATGGAGGTGAGAGGTCTGTGCCAGTGTCCTCCTGAATGGCTTTCCATTGATTTTCTAAGGCAGGGTATCTTACTGGCCTGTAGCATACCAGTTGGCCACATTTTCTAGCCAGTGAGACCCAGAGATCCTCTTGTGTCTACCTCCTCAGCACTAGGATTATAGGAGCAGGATATTTACGTGAAAGCTGGAACCTGAGTTTGATAGGGGTAAAGGTTCAAACTAAGGTTGCTATGGAGGTGGTTCAGTTTCTTCTTTAGTTTGGACCTTATCCCTGTTTCTTGTAGCTCTTTGAGCGTCTCAGCACTGATATTAATGTATCTCATTTCATCGGCTTCCCATGTACCCATTCTCACCTGTTTTTCTTCAATTTATACACAGAGGTCAAGGAACTGAACAGAGCCCCTTTCTTGTCAGAGTGTTGAAGATTCCTGGGTGTGCTTGGGATGAAGCAAGATGGTTGTTATTATGAGACTGATTGGGCTACATAGCAAGACTCTGTGGCTCAAAAAGAAAGTTTAGAGATTCCTATTATACTAACAATAATATATAGAACCATTTTCTTAAATGTTATGCTACAAATTGTTTAGACTTGATCATGTTTACTTTCACTGCTAGAGCTTAATGAGTTAATTCCGACATGTAGTGTTCTTGCTGAATTTTGTTCTCATTTATACAAAATGCCTGGCATCTTAATGTGGTTATCACCATTTAAAAAATCACCTTATATTAAGCTGGGCATGGTGGCACACACCTGTAATCCCAGCACTTGGGGAGGCAGAGGCAGGTGGATCTCTGTGAGTTCGAGGCCAGCTGGGCTACAAAGCCTTAGACAGCCAGGGCTACACAGAGAAACCCTGCCCCGAAAAACAGATAAATAAATAAACAAAGACACCTTATGTTGACAGTAGTTGTATTTTCTGTAATTTTGCTTTTATGCTGGTGACAAGTAAATACCACTTTGGAATCTGATCAGCTTGCTTCAGTCCTAGAATGCTTTTCCTGTGAGCAGTTGCTATCCACATGTAAACACTGCATTCTTAGACATACTCCTAAGAGCAGATGCTGAGATAGGGTCTCACTCTGTCGCACGGGGTGTCTTTGAACCCACTTTGCAGCTTAAGCTGGCTTTATTCTTGTGCCAGTCCACTTGCCTCACCCTCCTGAATGCTAGTCTCACAAGTGTAAGCTTCTAGATATTAATATTTTACAGGGAGATTTGTCCAAGTACACACGAGATTTAGCACATAATCTAAAACTGAGGGTTCAGCAGATTCCTTTTTATGAGCAGCTCATTATCTTTTAAGTATACCTATATTACACTGGATCTAGAAGTTTGGTGTGTGTCTAGGTTAGATACTTACCCAGGCTCTGTTTTATCTAAATGTTCACTTTTAACTGCATAGTCATCAGAGATATCAAACGGTTTATTTTTCAGAGAAATACGGGATTTATATTTTATTGTCTGTATAATGTTCTTGTTCATGATTCTTCTCAGAGTCTTGAACAGATTGTTCTGTTTATTTTGTTTTTATTATAAAACATTGACTAAGTGGCCCATTATAATTCCTTTTAAATTTCCTTCATTCAAGAGTTACGTGAGAGTATTCATGTGCATATGGTTCTTCGTTTCCAAATATGAATCTGTAGGTACATTTCCCATCTCTTTCCTTCTCTTGGTGAGAGGATGTAGTATTTGCCTGGAGGGAAGCAGTGTTCTCCTGTGCTGACTCTCATCAGTGAAGGCCACATAGACAGCTACGGTTAAGTTTCATTTCTGTCACATGGTTTGTGTTGCCTCAAGTTTTCTTTGCAGAAGCATCCACGTGAACACCTAGGCATGCATTTTCCATCTTTACATGCTTCCAAAGTAGATTTTTGAAAAGGGCATTCACTTTCTACCTTGGATGGATTCCTTTACTTCTTACCAACCACCCAGTAAGGATTTGTATGGTTGGCTTTAATGTTCTTTGACAAGAGAGCCAGGTCGGAAAAGCTGAGAAGTGATGGGTAACTATCTCATTTATTATCATGCTACAGGTTTCCTAAATACATTTATCTTCTCAAATAGTCAAATTTGTAAAAAAAAATAATTTATATGATATATGTGAATTATAGCTTTTTAAAATTAGATGAATACTTTGTAGTTTGTCAGTAAGGGAAGATGATAAGCAAGGAAGCTCTGCATCCTTCAGGCTTAAAGCTTTAAAAGGAGTTCATCTCAATAAGTAATGCGTAGAACACTTGTACTTGTTTTATTCATAAATGAATCCAGTCATATCTCCACTTGAGTTAAGGTAGGGATGGTGCTAAAGGCCAGAATAGAAGCCAAGTATTACTAATTATACAGTTGTGTCTGTGCTAATTGTAGTAAAGCCATTTAATCATAGATGCTAGTTCATCTAATTTTCCTTCAAGTTAGTTACTTGCTATCTACTAACAACTTAGGTATTTTCCCAAAACCTTTAACCTCTTTCTAGTAAACCATATTGAGTATTTGTGTCTGTGAAAACATCTCTATATAACTGTAGGGCTATATTCCACTTAACAAAATGCTTGTGCATCTATTTTGTTTTATGTATGTCCGGCTGAGTATATGTATGTGCTCCATATGTGGGCAGTTACTGGAAGAGATTGAAAGAGGATATTGGATTGCCTGGAACTGGAATTACAGGCAGTTCTGAGCTGCCCCATATGAGTGCTAGGAACTGAATTTGGGTCCTCTAAAAGAGCAGCCAGTGTTCTTAACCTACCTCTTCATTCTCTATTTTTTTTTTAAGACAGGGTCTGAAGTATACCATGTCAGCCTCAAACTCAGTCTGTAAATGCAGATATCCTTGAATTCTTGGTCTTCCTCTCTCACTCTGAAGTACTAAAAATATAGGCCACGTATTAGGCAGTTTTTTTGTTTGTTTTTTTTTTTTTTTTTTTTTTTGTAGTGCTGGGGATTGAACGTAGGGCCTTGTGCATCTTAGAGAGCTCTACATCACCAGCTAGATTTTATTTTAATATTTTCAAGTGCATTCCCATTTCTCAAAGCAGGCTACTTGTGCCCCACTTAGAGGTAAAACTGCTCTTTCTACTTCTAATATGGTCTGTTTAAAAGTCAGACAAATACAATT